CGAATAAACTTGAATGGGTCCCAAGCCGATATGCAACTGAAAACTCCACACCCCAGAAGGATTCGAACCCAGACAGCCAGCAGCACTATGCACTCTCTAGGCGTATCTGGTACCTTAACCACTAGACCACACTGACTGTACAACTTGTCAATTTGTGTGCTCTAGTACAGTGTGATCTAGTGGTTAAGGTACCAGGTACTCCACGGTGCATAATGCTCCTGGCTGTCTGGGTTCGAATCCTTTTGGGGTGTGGAGTTTTCAGTTTTTATATATATATATATATATATATATATATATATATATATATATATATATATATATATATATATATATATATATATATATATATATTTATATATTCACTTTATGAATTTATATAGTATATATCAACATTTTAAAATTCTAATGCGAATACAACAGTATACTATGGTATTATGGCAATTATCCCCTGTAACAATCACTGGGTCCATGTAATTAGTTACTAGCAACAGTGAACCGACCCTTCCAAGAAGTCCAGTGAATGAGTAATCTCGTGTCATTAGTCCGGCATTTAGTGAACAAATCAGGCCGTTGTTTGTTAGCTTCAGTTAAACTCTCTTTACAACGGTTAATATACCCTTTAAATGTGTAGGGTTTTACTGCACGCTACGTTGTGAAGGCGAAGTATTGAGATCATGCAGAGCTGATTTGCAAGAAGTTAAACGGAAAATGCACCTATTTAGCACCGGACAACACAGACTTGAACCGAAGTTTTTCATCGGTTCATTTCTTCTTGAACCGAAGTAATGATGTAAAGGAAACGGAATTTTTGTATGGAAACACGGCAGCAGAGAAGGGTAGTTTATTGTGCTTGTGTGTGTGCTGTGTTAAATTCCTAAAGTTTTCCGTAAACATATTTGTAAAGATGTTAGAAGACGTTTCTAGATCACCTATTCATCATGGCTGCTTAGAAAGTCAGTTCCATGTGAACCTGCTTCTAGCTAGAGCTGCGTGTGAGATTACTGCGGTTGACAGTACTTCGTTTTAACCTGTTAGTGACCAACAAGCAGCGAAGTGTTAGAATGTCCCTCATGTAGTGACCCACCTCATGTAGCTCTCATATATTCATGCACTCGCAATTAATCTCGCATATCATCCCACGTGTTATAAGCGACATAGATTGATCACATGTAGCAATGATTCTTAGCCAGATAAAGATTCAATTTTAAGTAAATTTACCAAGCATTATTATCCGTTTATGTAACGGCTAAGTAGCTGTTACATAAACGGCTACTTAGACTGAACATAACGAATATATGTTCGTTACACAAACCGCTAAGCATAAAATACTATGCTTCGTTCCTTTTATCTAGCACCTCTACATTGTGAAAATGTTTTATCTTATGCTATTCAAGGAATAAAGCTCACTGAGCTCTCTCCTGAGGATGATTTAGTGAACACTCTCCTGGAGAACAATTCAGTGCACATTCTCCAGGATGATTTAGTGAATACTCTCCAGGAAGAGTAGGATGATGATTCAGTGAACACTCTCCTGGAGAACAATTCAGTGAACATTCTCCAGGATGATTTAGTGAACACTCTCCAGGAAGAGTAGGATGATGATTCAGTGAACACTCTCCTGGAGAACAATTCAGTGAACATTCTCCAGGATGATTTAGTGAACACTCTCCAGGAAGAGTAGGATGATGATTCAGTGAACACTCAAATGGGGGTTGAGCGCAGTGAGCTCTTTCCAGGGCACTCCACCGTGTGTGTTTTAATTACGACAAGAAGTAAAAAATAAGGTTTTCTTTCTGTTGAGAACTCTGGCTTCTTAGAACATTCATTTATATTGCTGAATGAGATCACGTTTTCCTGTTTCCCATTGTCCCGTGGCCAACCCACAGCCTTAATGAGATACAAAATTAACAGCCACAAGATTTATGTAGAAAAATATTTATTACAACTGTAAGCATATGTACAAAAAATTACAAATATTTTGATATGTACACAGATATGTGATGAACATGAAAATGAATAAGTGATATGACACATGCAAGACCTCCCTACATACACTATGTACATGGCAAGGCAGGCCGTCCGTTGCATGCACACTCGCACACTATCGAGCACTGTCTCCCGCCATAGTAGGTAGCTATACCATAGAATCTGAGTTTGAGTTTGATGTTCCTTAATCCCATCAGTTTCCTCACAACACACAAATACCTTAGTAAAGACATATTGTCATTTTTTTTTTGCATTAGCATATTGTCATTATTTTTAGAATTTAATGTTTTTAAATTAGAAAAGGGTGAACAAGCATGTAACTCGATGTAAACAATTCTGTTTGAAAATAATTTTACACCCTTTTACCCAACTGGAAGAAAACAGTAAGGTTATATCATAACAAAACCGAAATATTAATCGATCTGAAAAATGCTTATTATTTGCTAACAAAAAATTCCTGACTCTTTACCGTCGAGTCGGAAGGAGGAAGACCACCAGACTATTCTAATCTTCCTTCCAATCTTTTTCACACACGCTCAGATTGCCTAGCACAAACAACCTGCATACACTAACGCTCTGATGGGCTAATGGCAACAATCAGGAAGACTGGGGATGGGGATTGAGGATCGACTGTCAGCATTTGGATGGGGCTCACATCAATCCATTCGTAACAAAGACATTTGGGTGGAATAAAGATTAATTATGGAAAATATGATCATGGATATTCTAGTCATAAAAAATATTATCCAAACAATTCTGTATCTCTAATAGGTGTGATACACACACACTCACACTATATATATATATATATATATATATATATATATATATATATATATATATATATATATATATATATATATATATATATATATATATATATATAATGTGTGTGTGTACTCCTCTAGTTATGCTTGCGGGGGTTGAGCTTTGGCTCTTTGGTCCCGCCTCTTGTCTGTGTATTTGTGTTTATGTAGTGTAAGTAATTTTCGATAAACACATCCAAATGAGAATGCAAAATTACACTCAGGTACTGTGTGGGTGTGTGTTGATATATATATTTATATATATTAGTGATACTTCATTACTAAATTTAAATTGTTGTATAATACATTTTTGCAACTTATATATATCTTTGTTTATTATTCGTCTGTTTCATTTATTTTTGGCATTGTTTTCAATAATAGATATGATGACATGCTATTCCAGCAGCTGCTCTATGATCCTGAAGGGTGACTAAACACACACACACACCCACACACACGCACACACACACACACACACACACACACACACACACACACACACACACACACACACACACACACACACACACACACACCCACACACACACCCACACACACACACACACACGTTTGCACCAAGCGTTTCAAAATAGAATGCTGAAGCACGTCTGGTATGGTGAGTGCCTTGTTATAAATATACACATAAACTACTAAGAGAACCACAGGCTTCCTTCCTGGCCCGCATCACACCCAGCTGTAAGACATTAGAATAATATATATATATTTTCACTCATACTATCGAAGTGTACTCTCGTTCCTCAGGTCAAGGACCATTACAAAAAATGCAACAACAACAACAACAACAACAACACCATGGAGGAGTGAGGCAGCGCACAGGTAAGCAAGAGCGCATCAGTTCACATACCTCATAGGTAAGTGAGATTCTGTCAAGTTACGCACACACACATACACACACACACACACACACACACACACACACACACACACACACACACACACACACACACACACACACACACACACACATGTACACGTGCACACCTCACAGTTAAAAGCTAATTTTTCATGGACTGATTACCCTTATTTGTGTGTAATTTCTCAACCGTATTACTAAGTGAGAATTTTTGAATATTTGCTTTATATTTTCCCTTTGAAAATGTATACAGTTGGTCGAATTGTTTTATATATATATATATTATATATATATATATATATATATATATATATATATATATATATATATATATATATATATATATATATATATATAATATATGTCATTTAAAATAAAATATTTAAAGATTATTTTCACTTCCCTGAGCCTTAACTGAAATATATAACAAAATTCCAACACTTTGCAAGAGTAACAAACAACGTATTTTCATTCGCAGCGGATTCAGTAAGAATTTTCATGCCATCAAAAGTAGGGGACAATACTGCTCTCAAGTGCTGGATGCCCACTTTCAAGCAGGTAGCCCTTTTAATCCTTAGGGTGGGGGTCCCTAGGAGCAGGACTCCTTGGGAGCACAGGGGCGCCTTCCTTCACACTCTTTGGCGTGGAGGTAATTTTTACATCCTTAGGATTAAAATGACTTTCCTATCCTCATGATCAAGAGGAACTTCACGTCCTTATGATCAACAAGGCTTTCATTCCCTCACGAGCATAACTTTCCCACCCTCAAAAGCTGGAGCACCTTAATGCCTTCCACTTGTATATGCTTCATCAATCTTACATTCCACATTTAAATAATAATATGGGGCAGTATAAAACACATTGCTCCTATACTACCATATACAGAAGATGCTTTGGTTGTGCGATTATCATCCATATTTTTTAGCATGTGTGAATTTTGTGTTTTCATGCTCATTTTACGTTTATCTTCCACTCAGATTCTTTTTCTTGCAGTGAACCCCCAAGAGATCATTCTTTCTCAATAATTTGACTTGCATTTCCCCTCTACTCAACCAGCCCATAGCCAAGCAAGAGATGCAAAGTCCAATAATACTGGATGTGAAAGGGGAAATGGTTGGCAGAATATATGACAAACCACCACAATCACTAGAGCTATATAACAGTTGCACGAGAGGGGAGGATTACCTGAATTTAAAATATATTTTCAGCATTATTATGGATTAAAATTTCTGAGCCACAAAAGTTTTTTTATACATGAAAAATATCACTTTAGGATCTGACGAGTTTCTTGTCAAGATTAACGAATGTAAAAAGTTGTGGAGGAAAAAAGAATAGTAGTTTTCATTAACTAGAAAACACTTTACATTTTGCCACATCAACTTAATCTTACGACTATTGCACCACGGTAGGAACACGCCTCTGATGTTGATCTCGCAGGGGAAGGTCGCCGAGGGTACGGCCGACCACTGTACCAGTTGTGATAACGTGGGCTGTAGATGCTGTTTTTCATTTTACATATACATAAAAAACACAACTACACACCTTGCAAATACAATGCATCATATGTTTGTTGAATCTCATATTATACAACACATAAGGACGTTATCAACACATTGGCTCTGGTTTAAGCTTCCACGCTGCATGTCTTTTCTAAGAGTCTCTCCATCAGAGGTTTCTGCTATCAGTAGTTATAACAATACGGCTGGCGGACGTGGGGCGCCGTGGATCAGACGTGTGTAGCCAGAGCACCTTGCATAACCTGGGTCCTGGGCGGCACGATATATTGGCTGGGATCTACAGGTATTCCCAGTCTCGGTATTGTAGAAGTTGTATTCCCCGCTACAGAGCCGTTTCCCCTGGAGTTGACATGTAGTGAAAGTGGCAAAGACCCAGAGGAGGTCTTGAAGTTGTGGTTGGCAAAGCCATTATTGTAGCTTGGAGAGAAGCCATGTACTCCGTCGGGCGCGTCATGACTGCCGTCGTAGTCACCGTAGCCAGGATAGAGGGAGTGTTGGCTGGAGGTGACGATGCCAGGGGGCGTGTGCGTGTACGTTCCCACGCCACCTGCGCTACTCACACTGTTCCCGCCCAAAACGTATCCTCCTGAAGGAGAAGATGGTTGCTGCTGCTGTTGTTGCTGCTGCTGCTGTTGCTGTGTCTGCTGCTGTTGACCAGTAGTAACTGCTGAGTGGTCAGCATAGTTGCCATAGGACAGCCCGCCTCCATTACTAGCAAGATGACCATTCTGAGAAGAACATTTTCATCACTAACAACCCTTATAAGATTAATACTAGTGATATGGCAATCGAACGTGTGGGGGATCAACATTATTTGCAAACTAGACGACAACTAAACTGCTAGTGGCATATCAATGCAAATTATTTACTACAAACATAATTGCTTAACCAAATGCCCATTAGTTCATAGTGTGAAGTATCATATATTTAAAATATTTATGAACTGAGACACAGTAAACGATCATGCGACTTACAATTTTCAGAGGAATTCCAGTGAATGTTTCTGGGTACAAGTAGGAATTAGTTGAGGCAAGGTAGGTGGGGGTGGCTGGGTTATCGCCTTCTTTCTCACCCCATCCCTCCAACTCCCCTTCCTTGTTGCTCATTGAAGACCCTGTCCGCTGGTCCAGCTCTACCTGCACGAAAAGAAATAAAAGTTCATGAAATTGTAGATGTCTATTTTTTCACAGAAAACTGTACAGACACCAAGGACAAGAGAAGTCTCATGTCCTTAATGTCTTATTTTCTCGGTAATCAATAGTCATTACTGGCGGGGTGCAAATGAATTTCCTGTGGATAATACATTTTGTAGGTCAATCATATAAATATTGTAAGTGAATGGTACTCAGTAATATTGATGTTTTGTAAATATATGTGCACAACACACGCAAGCACTCACGCAAGCACACACGCACAGTAGTTAGAATATGAATGATGTCATCCGCCTGTGCAGATATGGAGGTTGTGATGGCTGTAAATGTGTGATAATTTTGGGGGGTTATGGTAACTGTGGAGCTTACGCATTTAAGCACGCACTTTTTCACTACATATATCATAACCCCTGCACTACTACTACATCTACCATAACCACGACAGTACTACATCTACCATAACCGCAACAATATTACATCTACCAAAACCACAACACGATTACATCTACCATAACCACAGCAGTAATACATCTACCATAATCGCAACACTACTGCACCTACCTTAACTACAATACTACTACACGTGCCATATCTACAACCCTACTACATCTTCCCTAAACACAACACTTCAACATCTATCATAACCACAAACACTACTCATAAGACGACAGTCACAACATCTACCCAAGACGCTCGACATCAATCTAACTCTACACTATACTCATGAAGACACACTCAGCATATATTATGTACTCTTATATGCTACATTCATGAAGTCACTCAGAGCGGAGAACACCTACCTTAAGGTCGGACTCGTTGGCCGTGGAGTTTTGGTCGTTCATCTGAAGCGCGACTGTCTTTTCAGGCAGGCCTCCCGTCTTGGCGTCTGGCAAGGACACAACATGAAATCAGTGAAATATTATCAAACAGCGTGAAAATACATTATTACAATCTACTTGATAAGGGTCCAGGACGGACCGAAACGTCGTCATCTTTTTATCTTTAGTGTGTGTGGTTTCGTCAACATGAAATTAGTGTTTTGGCCGTCCCTTGGTGATGATGACCGACTCTTGAATCGACGACAAATGTTAATTGATCACATAATCAGATATATCATGTTTTTTTTTTGTTGGGGGAAGCTTGCATCAGACGAGGAGCTTGCATCAGAGAGCATATTTGTCTAATTATGTATTATTGTACTGACTGTTAATAATTATAGTCAAGCTTAACCGCTGTCTAATGTAGATGAAATGGTAAATTGTAAACATGTATAAATCTATAAATATTTACGAATAAACTTTTCGAGTCATAATCAGGTTAGATTTAGAATTTCAATCGTCGGCTTTTATGTTTGGGGGAGAGAAGGTTTATTGTTTTTTATGGTGGAATTCAACGAGTCGAGCCCAGTGTCCCTATTCTCAGCTTGTTGGCTGTCTCGTCCTATGAGCATACAAAAAACATGAAAATGTGATTTTTGTTTAAATTTCATTCATATATTGATCTTCGTGTGATTCGTTCACAAATGAGAACCTCCCGTTATCTCGGAAATAGTTTCTTCAACGACTGAAGCTTAACTAAGGCAACCCATATAGCCAATGTTAATATATTAGCCATTCTGGGAAGGAGAGTGTGTGTTAGGTTAGATGTTTATCTTCCATTGGGAACATTTGCTTTTCCAGTACTTGCGCAACCTGTTTTCTCAACCCGTTCTCGACTCAAGTCCATTACATCCAGCGGTCAACCCCACAGACGCATTCATAAATTTTAACATGCTGTTTATTCAAAACGGGAATTTATCCAAATATAAATTAGTATCATAATATATTAGCATATTGTTCATATACAGGCATAGGTAGGGTTAGGTTAGGTGTTTAGGTTTTGGTGGCGATTATTTGTATTTGTAGTACGTGGGTGAAGCATTTACAGTGTTGTGATTCGAACAAAATTCGTCAGTGAAGCACTTGTTCCGGAAGTGTTCGAACGTCAACAGTTGTGAGTCGCGTGTAAACGGTTTTTCATTCATACACAGGGGGTTTGGCGGGTGCATGGAATCACTTTTGGGTCTTTGCTTGGAGGACGGGCTCGACGGGCTCGACGGGCTGGTCCTCTGGCTGTGTTCATTCTATTCAGCGCCCTACCCCAGAGACTCATTCATCCATTTTAACATGTTCACTCAAAATAGACATTTTCTCAAATATATATTCATATAATTGTATATTAACAAATTATGCATATTTAGCCGAAGACTAAGTTAGGTGTTTAGGCTCTGTTCGTAATTATTTGTATTTATAGTTCGTGGGTGAAGCAGTTACAGAGTTAGGATTCGAGCAGAGGTCGTCAGTGGAGCACTGTTCGAGAAATGTTCGAACGACATCAGTTGTGAGTTGGGTGTAAACAGTTTTTTTTATTTTTGCTAGTTGGATTAAAAAGTATTTAGCCATTGTTTACGAGGAGAGGGTAGGTGAGGCCTTTCAACCCGTCCTCGACTCAAGTTCATTACATCCAGCGGTCAACCCCACAGACGCATTCAAAATTTTTACATGCTGTTCATTCAAAACGGGAATTTTCTCAGGTATAAATTAATATTATAATATATTAGCATATTGTGCATATATAGGCATAGGATAGGTTAGGTGAGGTGTTTAGGTTCTGTTGGCGATTATTGGTATTTGTAGTACGTGGGTGAAGCATTTATAGCGTTGTGATTCGAACAAAATTCGTCAGTGAAGCACTTGTTCCGGATATGTTCGAACGTCAGCAGTTGTGAGTCGTGTGTAAACCGCTTTTCATTCATAAACAGGGGGTTTGGCGGGTGCATGGAATCACTTTTGGATCTTTGTTTGGAGGACGGGCTGGGCCTTTAGAGAAGTGAGCTTCGAACACATGAAGTGATCAAAACATTGTTCGAGAAAAGTTCGAACGTAATCGGTTGTGAGTCATGCTTAAAGTGCCGCTATTTTACGAGCATTTGACTAGTTTTCAGGGCGTGCTGAGGACAGGCTGAGGACATACTGAGGACGGCCTGCATGACTCTTCACGCTCGGGAATGAAAATAACAACGTAAAGGTTAATTTGCAATAAATCACCCTCAACCAGCTGTCCTTTATACGAAGGGCGCCACAAACACGTCACACTAACACAGCTTCACCCTAGTATAGCTTCATCCTAGCACAGCTATATCTTCAACCTTAGTACAGCTTCACCTTAGTACAGCGTCACTATTACCGCTGCAACATTGTCATCTTCTCTTAATCAGGATGGAAGACAAAAACATATTTTTTTTCGAAAACAAATAATAAAACTTCCCAATTTGTATAATAATTAAAAATCATATTGTTTTATTAGAAGTTCAGGATGATTTATTGGGGGAAAAAGCGGCAGTAATCCGAGGCAATGTCCTGTGGGAGTATTAAGACACTCGTACCTCATGCTTGACCAGCCATAAAAGAAAATTAAAAACAACTCTCTCAAAGGCTGGTCTGAAAATATAATCACACCCAGATAATTTGCTTCCGGTTATGAAAGAGTAGTCAACCTGACCGTCAATGGGTCGCCCTGAGAATTAAAATTTTACTGTACTATAAAATACAAGTTAAATGAAACTACGTATGTGTTATATTACTTTCCGTTCACTTGGACATTCTGGGAATTGTGGCCAGATATATTCAGCATGAAATCGTTCCTTCTTGGCTGGAGGCAGAAGAGCTCCAGGACTCACCTTTATGCTTGGCAGCGGCTCTCTTGGCACACATGATGACTGCCAGTGCCACGACCAACACGAAGACGATGCCTCCCGTCACGCCACACAGGATCAACAGCAACGGCAGCGTCTCTGACAAAGTGAAGATGAATTGTTAGTAGTGGAATAAGTCATTGAAGAGAACAGGTACAGTGGTCAAGTGACAGTAAGGGGGAGAGAGAGAGAGGGAGGTGGTAGAGAGGGAAATGGGAGAGAAAGAGGAGGGTATTAACAGTGTATTAACTAGCTTTGAGGTGATGGAATGGGGAGTCAGGGTGTAGTTAACTTTTGCTACTGAAGAATAAACATAATTTAACTATAGTGATGGAGAGGAGACAGGAAAGCGTTGCTTAGAGTGGCAGTTGGCTTACCTGATTTAATAATGTATTTTAGAGGCAATATACACGTGATTGGTGTTCCTTTGTTATAAAGTGTGTGTGTGTGTGTGTGTGTGTGTGTGTGTGTGTGTGTGTGTGTGTGTGTGTGTGTGTGTGTGTGTACTTACCCAAGTTCTCTTGTAGAGTTGATCATACATGTGTGTTTGACCATATGTACGTGTATGTGTGCATTTTAGTGTGTAATTATGTAGTTTCTCAGAGAACAGGTAATTACAGGTTTCAGCACATTATTTTCTAAATAAAAACTAATAGTAAATATATGTATAGAAACAACTTCAAATTACCCGTACCCCCTCGCCCAGATTTACAGCTTTCATGGATCAACCTATGACAAAATAGATTTTCTACCTTCCATTTGACTTTGACAAAGTGTATACCCTATGTTAGACTATCTTTGACAAAGTGTATACCCTATGTTAGACTATCTTTGACAAAGTGTATACCCTATGTTAGACTATCTTTGACAAAGTGTATACCCTATGTTAGACTATCTTTGACAAAGTGTATACCCTATGTTAGACTATCTTTGACAAAGTGTATACCCTATGTTAGACTATCTTCGACAAAGTGTATACCCTATGTTAGACTATCTTTGACAAAGTGTATACCCTATGTTAGACTATCTTTGACAAAGTGTATACCCTATGTTAGACTACCTTCGACAAAATGCACAGAATATACATCTGAGTTTTGTGTTCTAGAGATCATTAACCTGTACATAGTGACAAGTTCAGTGCATCCTCAATTTACATTTTGACAAGAATTACTTTGTTTCTAACAGTCCCTCTCAATCGTCACCCGGTTTACACTCTAGAAAGGCTTACACTCTCCCAAGGTTTGCACTTGCCTAGGAACGCACTCTCTCCTGGCGCACACAAGACCAAAGCCCCAAGGGATCCACTGCTAACAAAGTTTATGTCCAGGGATGACCGAGGTAACGACTCCCTGGATTACATTTATGTCCAAATACATTTATGTCGAACATAATCATTGAAAATCCTCAGAAGACTGGAATTCATTCGGTTCACTGTATATAATTTAATTACGATATCAGCAATATTAGCTGTATAAATCACGTTTTTGTGATTATTGTTATATATATATTATGTTTTAGTTAAGCCAAGCAAAGACAAGAGCGGCTTTTACAATGATGACAGATATATACCTCGTACATAAGACCTGTTTTTTAAGAATGAAGTACCGCTCTAGAGCTATTACTACTGTTGAACTTAATCATTACTTTCGCACTTAAGTGCATTTTACCATTACTTTCGCACTTAAGTGCACAACGCAACAGACAGAATCTCCATCTCCCCACCAGGTGACATGGGAGAGACCAAGCTGTGAACACGTGGATGGCCCGTAAGAAGAGCGTCGAGGCGACCTTAATAATCAACTTCAAAATGAAGTACGACGAGAAACATGACAAATGAAAGTCACTGCATTACCTAACCAGGAGCTGGACTTTGGGGAGCCTAGGGAGCTATCGGGCGGCTCTGCAAGCCCATTTAGGAGAGTACCTCTTGGTAAGGGCATGCACATTTGACAAAAGCATTGTAAAAATCTTGTACATTATTTAGCGAATGATTGTGGTCCATTACACAACTTAGAGCCTTGGCATTTGAATGTGTCAGTCTCAGTGATTGGCACCTTTCGTGTGTCCGCTCATACAAATGTAAGCGCACAAAAAGTACCAAACACAAGACTGACGTAGTATAATGCCAAGGTCCTGAGACATGTAATGAACCACAAACATTAGCTAAATATAAAGGTGGATATTTAGAATGCGCATGTTAAATGGAATCTCTACATCGACAATTTACTACAAATCGGAGAGAAAGAAGAAGAAAGATAACCGGAGCAAAGAAGCACAAAAGAAACTAAGATTGGAGGTGATAGACCTCAAGTAAATACACTCGCATCTTCCCGTCCCCCAATGGGGCCTTACGAAGACCAGCCAGCACTGCAAAGAAGATTAGCGATCAGTTTGGTCCCTCAGGGCCAACTGTCGCTTCCATTATACTCGGCCCATTTCTGATACTTTTTATCCTCTCCTAGCCATTTACTATTTTACACCTATGTCTTTTTCCTTAACCTTCTTACGTTTTCATCTCTCTAAACTCTTCTCCAACTTCTGATACTTCTCTCATATCTTGGAAAGTCCCACCTGTGGAACGTCTTCACTTCCATTTTCATAAGCACTCACTCACCACACAAACATACATACACAAGCACATACACACACAGACGCACGTGCACATACCAACCGCCATGCGAAAAATAAATAATATACATATATTTACTTACTTTTCTTGTTAAGGATAATTTCGAAGACATCTGAGCCAAAGGAATTGTTGACCGAACAGTTGTAGGCTCCGAAGTCCTTGAGCTGCGCGTTGCGGATGACCAGGGAGTGACGGAGCCCCTGGCTGGTGACGTCCTCAGTCACCTCGTAACGTCCCTCTTCTGTTGGGGTCAGAGACAGGAGACATGAGCTAGCTGGTAGGGGTCAGACATATCATATGGGGGTCAAGGACAGATTGCAGGAGGTCGGGAACAAGAAGCCTGAGGCAGCTGATCTCTTATAAGTAGGTGTGGCAGGCTCTGCTATACTTATTAGAAGAGAAACAAGTTTAAGGATTTTTGTATTTCTGTTTCAGCGTGCTTAAGAGAGTATAAGTATGAGGTGACTAGTGTCTGAGAACCAAGTGTGCTGCTGACTGCTTCTTTGAAATAAACATAATTATTCCGATTCTAAGAACAGGAAAATCGAGGTGATATGTTGCTAGAAAAGATTTATAATATATTTAGATTTTGTTATTCAGAGCAGATGTGAGGCTGGTGAGAATGAGACTGCCTGTCTGTTTATGAGGTGGGAGAAATGAGAGTCTGGTTTGCGAAAACCATTCGAGCAGTACGGGGAACGAACCGGCGTCATAGGTCACCCTCAGGCGTGCGCCTCAATCCATTGGGCCATGATATCATATCGTGGTCCAGTGGGTTAAGGCGCGCATCTGGAGCGACCCACGACGCTCGTTCCATCCCCGTCCTCCTACAATGATTTTGGTAAAGATATATCACGCTATTGTGATTTCCTTGTGTGTGAGTCTGCTTTGTTTTTGTGGAATGGGAGGAATTTTTACTGTTACTCTTTTGTTGTTTTGTTATTTTATTTTGATAGTTTCAAGACACACGCAGGCCAGCCTGAGGCGAGGCTTCCCTGCTCTCTGTGACGACATGAAACAATCTGTGTCTGTGAGGTGGAAGAAATCATATGTTTATTTGTGAGGCGGTAGAATTTAGTTTGTGAGACGAAAGAAATGAGGGAGCCTGTGTCCTTAAGGAAAATGTAGGGTAATAATCTGTTATTGTGAAGTGGCGGAGAAGGCAACCTTTCATATAAGGTGGAGACAGCTCCTTTAAGGCTCTAGGAATGATGCATTTTGTGTCTTCGAGATGGGAAGAATGAATCACCAGGAGAGAGAGCATAACAGGGAAGAATAGTATGGGGTACTCAGTTTGACAGGTAGAACTCAGTGTGACGCAGTGTGACAGCACAGAAATGTGAAAGTGGGAAACCGCTGCCATCAGCATTACGACCCCTTTGGTCGTATGCTATTGGTTGGTTGTCGTACCTGATTGGAACGGGTGTTAACCATGTCTTAGGCACCTTTAATGTAGAAAACACACACACACTAACCAGCCGTAGTCCACCCTGCTCTACTCTGGTGTTTGAACTGAGACGTTGGCCTACGATAAGGGCTCTTTGGTCCTGTGCCTATGATGTCAGAGGCCTAGTGGCCCTTTGACTGGCAGACGTCCAACTGTCTTCAGTTTAAGGGCTGACAAAGACACAGAGTGACTGGGAACATAATGTGACAGTGGGACACAGAGCGACAAGGAACACAATGTGACAGTGGGACACAGAGTGACTGGGAACACAATGTGACAGTGGGACACAGAGTGACAAGGAACACAATGTGACAGTGGGACACAGAGTGACAGGGAACACAATGTGACAGTGGGATACAGAGTGACAAGGAACACAATGTGACAGTGGGACACAGAGTGACAGGGAACACAATGTGATAGTGGGACACAGAGTGACAGGGAACATAATGTGAAGGGACGACACAGTATGATTCGGAAACACAAAGGGACAGGAGACGCATGGAGGGACAGGGGGGGTAGAGAGTGTGACACGAGGAGAGTGCAACAGGAGTGCAAATATAACAGGTGAACGTAATATGGGCTCCAAGTCATTTGACAGGGGTGACAGTGTGAGGGGAGGAAGACTCAGCTGACAGAGAAGTCAAGGTGACAAAAGGACTCACCGAGGTCGACATCGGCACCGTTGTGGCTCCAGGTGACAGTGACCGAGCGGGCGGAGGCTCCAGTAATGAGACACTCCACCAGCACTGTGTCTCCTTGTTTCCCCCACTGGATCCTCTCCGACTTCACCTGCGGCGGACCCTACAGGAGGAACACACAGCCAGGCATTGTCAGTCTTCTTCCTCATTAGTATTGGATTCGATATATTGATTAACTCTATCATCCGACTCATTAGGAACTAGCTAGTCTCCGCTCTATCTTTTTTGTTGCTGCTCAAACATAGTAGAAAGAACATTGAAAGCTGAAGCTCTGGTTATCAAAAATATTTGCAAACAGTTTTTTGTGCGAATTAAAGCAATGCAAAAAGCTCATGATACATATTTAATTGCTGTTATTTGAAAAATTCCTTCCAACAAATGAAAGTAATGAAGCAGCACAGAAAATATTACAAAAGGAATAATATTTGATATTCAGTGAATTATATTATTTATACAATAAAAATAAACAATATATCGACAATAGTCCCAAACATGTGAGGCAGGGAGCAGCACCATACCTTGAGGAACACCCCGACGGCGCCAGAGATCTCAGGGAAGCCTTCCACCTTGGCGATGCAGAGGTATGCGCCTACGGTAGCTTTGGTGACCTTGATGCGGAGGTCAGAGCCCTTCCCCGCCACTGTCTGTGATTGCTGGTTGATCCACACGATGGTCGGGTCTGGCATGGAGTCCACCTGGCACTTGAGGGTAACATTCTCGCCCAGCTCGGCGTATTGGTCGCTCGGCGGCACGCGGAATGATGGTCCGTCTGCAGGAGAGATACAAAAAAATAGGTACGTGTCAGGCTAGATCGTGCGCATGCCACATTCACAGGTAACGATTTTGGTGCGTTACGCTTGTAACAAGTCTACATGCAACTGTATTGATGGTTCCAGTGTTGCTGTGATATAACTGTGCTACAGCAACGTCACTGTAAGTGCTACATTGTTCTAATAGCATTATAGATTGAAAACAAGTGTTAGTTATAGTATCACAACACCTGCCAGGAAGCAGGAAGCAAAACAGGGAAAGATAGTAGCAATTTCTTCTTCAAAACTTAGTCATTAGAAGAAAGGATATGATCAGCTAATACAGTGCGACAGTATAGTGGTGAATATTACCTTTTGTAATGTGGCCTTTCGAAATAAATTAGTTCAATACAGAACCCTTGAGGTCACGAGAAATATACCATCGCCTTACGCAGTGAGTTTTACGTCTCAAAAGTCTTTTTGAGTCTCAAAAAGCACCTCGTCTGTCAGTCATGGGCAAGACAGAGAAGCAGTCGAATGGTAGAGATCAAAGGGGTCAAGACCCATACAGTGTTCCGTGCTTACTCCAAATCCCTGGACGTTGACGGGCGAGTACGGGTCCCGGTCCCAGGAGCTGGTCGAGCGAGGACGGGCCCCGTCCCTGGAGCTGGTCGAGCGAGGACGGGCCCCGTCCCTGGACGAGCGAGGACGGGCTCCGTCCCTGGAGCCGGACGAGCGAGGACGGGCCCCGTCCCTGGAGCTGGTCGAGCGAGGACGGGCCCCGTCCCTGGAGCTGGACGAGCGAGGACGGGCCCCGTCCCTGGACGAGCGAGGACGGGCCCCGTCCCTGGAGCTGGTCGAGCGAGGACGGGCCCCGTCCCTGGAGCTGGTCGAGCGAGGACGGGCCCCGTCCCTGGACGAGAGAGGACGGGCCCCGTCCCTGGAGCTGGACGAGCGAGGACGGGCTCCGTCCCTGGAGCTGGACGAGCGAGGACGGGCCCCGTCCCTGGAGCTGGACGAGCGAGGACGGGCCCCGTCCAACATTCAGAGAAATGACAGTGGTTGAGACATCACGTATGCAAGACCCGCGGTCATGCAATGTTGAGTAAGTGTTCATTTCGTCGTCCCGCCCCCTACCTCCAGCCACAGTCTGTTCTAACCCGCTACTTCTCTAACACAACCTTCCCTCCCTTTCTCTCACTCCTTACTCCTCCTGTTCAGTTCCCCCTCCACGCCAATTCTAGTTTTCTTGCCCCCTCAACATCCCTCATAATATTTCCTTCCGCTCCTCCCAACACCTCCTCCTTATCTTCGTCCCTCTCTTCTTCCTCTTCTCCCTCTAAAGTCCAAGAAAAAAGAGCACGGCAACAAAAAGTCCGGCTAGTCTTCATCAGCGTCACACGGACACCACTAACTTGCAGGTTAATCTGACGGAGACACAGACAGGATGTCCCCTGCAGGGGGTTGGGTAGGGGTGGCCAAGCCTTCCCCCTCCGTCCACCCCCGTCACCAACACTACGTACAGAAAAGACAGCCAAAGAAAATGGGAAAGAGATGGACGGAAAGATGGTAGAAAAGTAGAAAGTCTGATTGATTTATAGAGCGGGTAAATATAATACAAATAGAGATAGAGAGAAAAGAAGACAATGAAGCAATAGAAAGAGATACAGAAGGGCAACAAATGGGGGATATTGACGGCTGCTTCTCCAGCGTGCAAGATGGAGAGTGAGTAATGGTAAACTTTGAGTGCAAAAAAAATTCCCAAGTTTTTCCGAGGCTTCCACATCTACCAGCATCACATCTACTCAGCTCTATCATCTACATAGCATCACCTCTGCTCTCGGCTCTAACATCTGCCAAACACTTAGTGTTCTTAAGTTTTGCCATCATTTTTTCTTCCTTTATTACCAAGACGCTTTATTTAGCAAAGAGAGGCACATCTTATTTGCTGAGGCAAGCAGCGTCACCAAGTTGGCCCAAACTGTGCCCAATATTGCTCAACTTTCTTCCTTTTTTGTAATAAATCTTGGTTGCCCTGTACAGCTCCGAAATTAGGTAAATAGTTTACGGGGTGGTCGCAACTTAGTTTACGGGGTGGCCGCAACTTAGTTTACGGGGTGGCCGCAACTTAGTTTACGGGGTGGCCGCAACTTAGCTTACAGGGTGGCCACAACTTAGCTTACGGGGTGGCCGCAACTTAGTTTACGGGGTGGCCGCAACTTAGCTTACAGGGTGGTCGCAACTTAGCTTACGGCGTGGCCACAACTTAGTTTGTGGGATGGATGGACCATAGGTGGCAGGCGTCGGGTGCAGGACCCGCCAAGGTTCGTCAGAAATACCTCACAAACATTCTAACGACTAACTAGAAATTCCAGCGTTAAAATGAACCACAAACTTGCAAACAAAGTAACTGACATTGATCGTAGTTACAACGGTTCATACACTCACACTGTTTATCGGGTCATGCGCTTCCCTAAATACAACATCACATTACAAAATATACAAACATAATACAACAAAAATGTGAATAAAAATAATGTGAATACAAAATACACTATGAAAGTACAAAATTCACTATGAAAAAAAATACACTATATGAACAAAGTACAGTAGGAAAATACAAAATACATTACTTAATACAAAATAAAACTATTGTGTTGGACAAGAGTTATCGTGCAGTGTTGCCTGCTGGCCTACAATTATTTATGTTTCTTAATGACGATTTGGCTCGTGTAGTTTGTTTATTATCGTACATCGTATGCTGGGCCGCCTCTGTCCACGAATTTATGTATGTATTTATTTTGCGGCCTTGGCTTATGTATATCACACACACACCCACACCCACACCCACACCCACACCCACCCACCCACACCCACACACACACACACACACCCACACTGCAAAAAGAGCATTATCATACATATATACTCTTTTGCAAACTGTCTTAGACGGGTGGAATAGCTTAAGACCTTCGGAAGCTTCAGTCAGACACAAAGGATTACAGTGAAGACGACACATTACGATCATAGTCTGTATTCTTACACACCTTTATGATGAATTTACGCTTCTTTATCCATACTCGGACACTCGATAATTCATACAGTTTTCCTGGAGTAAAGAGGAACTAATTCTAAACCTTCGTATCGACTGGCTAATCAGTTTTATTATTTTTATTCAATGCAAATTCAAGCATACAGAGATTTGTTCAACAACTCATTCTGAGAGTTTTTGTACTCATTCTTACACACACAATATTGTTTACTAATCTCTTGCAGACCTTTGTTTATACACTGAGTAATGGTAAACTTGGAGTGCAAACATTCATAACTTTTTCCGAGGCTTCCACATCTACCAGCATCTCATCTACTCAGCTCTATCATCTACACAGCAACACCTCTGCTCTCGGCTCATCCATGAACACTCACACGCTTCATTCACAATATTTACGAACTCACATACTCGTCAACTCTAACACTCTGCCCTTACGAGACCTTCAGACTGATTTTTAACAATTTCCACACACTCGTAAGCACATAACCCGCGTAAAGCGCACTCTCAGGCTTTTAAACTCAATAACATTCCCACAGGACGAGGGCGGCTGACAGTGGTGTGGAGAGATCCACCTCTCTGGGACGTGTGTACAGTCAGGACCCGTTCATATGATCGTTTCACACACATACACACAAAAACGTTCACACACACATACTACCTATACAATTCTCAGAGGAATTGACTTGATGAGGATAAACTGTTTAGCACGGGTGGTACACGAACAAGGGGACACAGGTGTAAACATAGTACCCAAATGAGCCACAGGGACACTAGAAGGAACTTTTTCAACGTGAGAGTAGTTAACAAATGAAATGCATTAAGTAGTGATGTGATAGAGGCTGACTCCATACACAGTTTCAAATGAAGATATGAGTTCAGTAGGCTTAAGAATCTGTACACCAGTTGATTGACAGTTGAGAGACGGGACCAAAGAGCCAAAGCTCAACCCCTGCAAGCACAACTAGGTGAGTACACTTACAAACGGCCGAAACAAAACAAAAAATACCTTAAACCCAAAACTCACCTCACACACAGCCCTAAACCTAGGTGTAAAACACTAAAATTTAAAAACTTTCATAATCAATGACCCAAAACTAGAAACAATTCTAAACCTCTATATAAATATTTTTTTCCTCTGCTGCTTTTGTCTCATTAATCATATTTTCTCACCCTTCTCCATCTATTACTCTCAAACTTTTTTTTTCGTCCCTGCTTTTCACTTTCTCCTTCTCCTCCTCTCCTTCCTCCTTCACTGACCTGCTAATTCCTATAATAATTTTGGTCCGCGTCACACAACCTCAAAATGCAAAATAATGTCACTGAGGAATTCAAGAGCCCAGATGATACATTTCCCGTTTCTTCACTCTGTGTGTGCATTAGGTGTGTCTACGGGGGTGAGCTATGAAGGACCAGCGCCGGGACCACCACCAGGTCAATACCCAATGAAGCACCAGCTCTCCTACCCCCCTCCCTGGAGCTATACGTGTTGGTTGAAGCAAAATAAAGTGTGGAAGGCGTGAATATCCTGGTTGAGGCGGGAATCACGTTATAGGATGAATATAACACAACTTGCACAAAGTAATGTAGAGAAACACATAGCGTAATGTAAATTTAATTATAGATGTAGTCTCCAAGTAAAGACTTTATCGTATCTAAGAGAAACAAGAGGAAGCGTATAGAATTTGCAACCATTAAACACTACTAAACCATTTGTAGAGCCAAGGAATTTCCAGTATTGTATAACCATTTGCTAAATTGTACTTAAATATAAATTGTGAAGCACTAAATCCCACACATATACATGGCTGCAAACTAAAGGGTTTGTCTAACGTTGGTTGAAAATGGCACTTAAAATGATCCTTATTACAATTGTTGTTGTCAGTATATTCAGACGTTGGCCAGTGGGTGAATTTTTTGTAAAGTGTCTCGGCTGTTACAGTGTGTGTGTGTGTGTGTGTGTGTGTGTGT